CATGTTTTGGTCCATTCTACGCCGCCAGGTTGCCCCTCAGACTGTCCAGGAGCTCAGTGATGCCCTGGTCTCATTAGGAGCATGCCCTGACATTGCCAGGCATGCATACTAGCATGTGAAGGCCATACAAACTACTGAGTACCATTTTGAGTTGCTGCAATGAAATTTCAGCAAAATGGACTAGACTGCTGCATCATTTTTGCACTTTCGGGGGGTGTCTTTGAATTCAGTCCTCTGTAGGTCGATCATTTTCATTTCCATTAAACAATGGGGCATCCATACATTCCTAACACATTACCCAGTCCATATATATAGATATCCAGCATGAGATTTTTTCCCCATTGAGATCTGATGTCTTTTCAAAGTGTTCCTTTAATATTTTTGAGTAGTGTGTATGTATATATATATATATATATATATATATATATATATATATATACATTCTTTGCATTTCCTGGTGGCCCATAGGGAGCTGATAAGTCGACTAGCCTTTTCTTGCTCTCCTGCTGCTGGTGTTGCAGTTACATAGTTACAATGTACCATTTGTGACTGTATAATCTGTTGACCATTGGTATTTGGTTATTTCCATTTTATGTTTTTGTTTTGCTTTTTATACATTAACTGGGGATGTACCTCCTAAACCTTCAGAAGAAGGTCTACTCTTTTGAAAAGAGCCTAATATAGAGGTGTTACTAAAGAATTGTGTCTCTTACATTATTATTTCATACTGTTGAAATATGTGTGAACCCAAAGTGTCAGAGGTGTCAGGAGGCTTGCAAGGTCAGGACAACCACTGGAGACAAGCATTATCAAGCATCCTCTGTGTGGATAGCACTACATGGTCTAACAATTTACTCCCTGAACTTGGGAAGCTGCAAGAATTTCAGGATTTGGCCAGAAGGGCCTGACAATTTCTCATCTAAGTGAAAATCCAACTTTTAATTAATTTCAGCCATTGCTATTAGAATTCTATTTAGATAAAAGGTTTCTACCAATATCTTCAAATCAGACATGCCTTCCAGGCCCAGAATGGCTCTCTCAGCTTTTCAATCACAGATACTCTGATAAAGGTTTTAGGGCCCAGGAATCAAAGGGTCAACAGATTCAAGCACAACTCCTATCAACATTTTTGTTGAGACATCCAGCTCCATGTAAACAGAAATGGGGACACAAATTAATCCCCATTTCTAATTATTTCTGGGATTGGCTTCTGGATGTGATTCCTTTTGTTTCTTCCTCCCCCTCGTATCAGTTAACACAAAATTTTCATTATCTATCGTGTATATTGGACTCCTCATTTTTTCTATAGCATAGGATTATGGCAAGACTCTTCTTCTGATTAAAGAAAACATTGGATTTGCTTTCTCTTTCTGGGTAACAAGGGTCTCTAAGATAGATAGAGGGGCAAATCTGCCTGGCAAGGTCATAAACAGTAGGTTTGAATAGGTAGGAGATGTGGAGTGCTGAATCTAGTTTTAAGTATGTGCTCTGGTCAAAAAAGAAAAGATTTTCTTTTCTTCAAAGACTAACTGCTGAGGGATGGCACTTCCACATACAAACTGAAATTTAGTGAGCAAAGCCTCAGATACGATTGCAAAGTGCAGAAGATGACTTTATGTAACATAGAGTTCAATAAAAATCCAATGGGTTTCCAGGGTTCTGGAGGTCCTTCATCAGGGCTACAAGGAGTAGAAATAATGTACTTATAACAATAAAATCATAATAAAATACAGTTATGCTCCTAGTTTTGCATACCCTGGCAGAAATTGTGAAATTTTGGCATTGATATGAAAATAGTACTGATCATGCCAAAATACTGTCTTTAATTTTGGGATAGTGATCATATGAAGCCATTTATTATCACATAGTTGTCTGGCTTCTTGTTAAATCATAATGATAGCAGAAACCACCTAAATGGCCATGATCAAAAGTTTATATACCCTGGAATGTATGGCGTTGGTATAGACACACAAGGTGACACTCACAGGTTAAAATGCCAATTAAAGTTTCAATATCAAAACAATGGGTGCAGCGCTTAAATGGAAGAATATCACAAAACAATGTATGTAAACATAAGCAGAAGGTGACTTAATAATAAAGTGCTTAATCAATAAATATATAAATAAATAAACAGCGTGACTCAGCGTGTTCAATGATACTTGTCACTGCACGTGACACACAATGGTTCATACAGTAAAGTGCAAAACATATAATCCACATGTATAGTTAATAATTCATGTCACTGTGTCGTGACTAATCCTACATAGTGATATATGTGAGTATACAGGTGAAACTCGAAAAATTAGAATATCGTGCAAAAGTTCTTTTATTTCAGTAACGCAACTTAAAAGGTGAAACTAATATATGAGATAGACTCATTACATGCAAAGCAAGATAGTTCAAGCCGTGATTTGTCATAATTGTGATGATTATGGCTTACAGTTCATGAAAACCCCAAATCCACAATCTCAGAAAATGAGAATATTGTGAAAAGGTGCAATATTCTCGGCTCAAAGTGTCCCACTCTAATCAGGTAATTAAGCCATAACACCTGCAAAGGGTTCCTGAGCCTTTAAATGGTCTCTCAGTCTGGTTCAGTAGGAATCACAATCATGGGAAAGACTGCTGACCTGACAGTTGTGCAGAAAACCATCTTTGACACCCTCCATAAGGAGGGAAAGCCTCAAAAGGTAATTGCAAAAGAAGTTGGATGTTCCCAAAGTGCTGTATCAAAGCACATCAATAGAAAGTTATGTGGAAGGGAAAAGTGTGGAAGAAAAAGGTGCACAAGCAGCAGGGATGACCGCAGCCTGGAGAGGATTGTCAGGAAAAGGCCATTCAAAAATGTTGAGGACTTTCACAAGGAGTGGACTGAGGCTGGAGTCAGTGCATCAAGAGCCACCACATACAGACGGATCCTGGACATGGGCTTCAAATGTCATATTCCTCTTGTCAAGCCGCTCCTGAACAACAAACAACGTCAGAAGCATCTTACCTGGGCTAAAGAAAAACAGACCTGGTCTATTGCTCAGTGGTCCAACGTCCTTTTTTCTGATGAGAGCAACCGTTGCATCTCATTTGGAAACCAAGGACCCAGAGTATGGAGGAAGAATGGAGAGGCACATACTGCAAAATGCTTGAAGTCCAGTGTGAAGTTTCCACAGTCTGTGTTGATTTGGGGAGCCATGTCATCTGCTGGTGTTGGTCCACTGTGCTTCATTAAGTCCAGCGTCAACGCAGTCGTCTACCAGGAGATTTTGGAGCACTTCATGCTTCCTTCTGCAGACGAGCTTTATGGGGATGCTGACTTCATTTTCCAGCAGGAGTTGGCACCTGCCCACACTGCCAAAAGCACCAAAACCTGGTTCAATGACTGTGGGATTACTGTGCTTGATTGGCCAGCAAACTTGCCTGACCTGAACCCCTGTCAGGAATGGACTGGCCAGCAATAGTGGGACTCACCTGCCTTGTGAGCTGCAGTACCAGGGCTGGCCAGCGGGTGCTCCCAGCAATCAGAGACTCAACCTTGCAGCCAGTCAAACACCTGGAACTAATTATACTGGTGTATTTAAGGGACATTCAGACCTGCAGACTTTGCCTTGGTGTTGTGTTTTTCCTGGGCCCTGTATCTTGTTCCTGCATCCTGCTCCTGCTCCTGTTCCTGTTCCTGTCTTGTTGCTGACCCGGCTTGATTCTGACCTCTGCTGACTTCTCCTGTTCTGATCCCTGGCTTGTGACCCCGACCATTCTCTGCCTGACGCCCTGTACCTACCTGCCTGTTAGTTGCTGTACCCTGCTCGTGACCTGACTATTCTCCGCTTGCTCCCCCTGTACCTACCTGCCTGATTGATATTGACCCGGCCTTGCACTGTATGTACTGTTATCTGTGGGTGGTTTGGTTTGGTTCGTTTGCACTGTATTATGTTTAGTATTGCACTGCGTTTATGTTTGTATTGTTAGCGTTAATAAATTGTTTATAACTTATCTTAAGTCTGCGTTTCCCTGCGTCAGTCACACACCTCTGGTCACACCTGGGAGCCCTGACATTACACCAAGGCCAATCCTGACCAGAAGTGGCTGCACAGGGAAGCCATCTTGGTTTGTTGATGGGAAGGATGGATCTGGATGAGGTTGCGTATTATATCTGCTAGTGTTTGATGACAGAGAGTATGCTTATCAAACCCTGAAGGAGTATACCCGGGATGAACTGCTAGAATGTATACGGCTCACTCATGTTCTAGTAGATCAGGGCACAGAGTTCTCTGAGGTGCAGCCATTGATTGAGGTTTGTGCTGAGTTGGTTTCATCTGGTTCCCCCGAATGCAGGGATGAATTTTTGCCACCATTTAGTGCAGACCAGGTAGAGTCCCTGGTGTGGTTATTAGAGGATGATGTGGGTTACTTTCTGGAGCGTTATTCCACATGTTCACCACAGGTACTAAGGGATTGTATAAACGCAGTGCAGTCTTTGGTCAGACAGGCTTTGTGTAAGCTGAGCTTTGTTCAACCCATACTGCAGACATGGACAGATTTGTTACACCCAGCCTCAGTCAGCTTACAAAGACCCAGTCCTGCTTCTAATCTATCTCCTCAAAGCTCTACTCCTGTATTCCCAACAGCTCCTCCAGTTACAGCCCAGTATACTTGGCTATCTACCGCATGTCAGTACCCTGTTCCCACTCGCTGCACCTATCCTGCCTTTAACCCTGTAAAGAAACCCTCTGTAGCGACTGTTCCTTCCCCTGTTCCATCCTCCAGCTCTTCTCTGTCTCCAGCTGCTCCATTCATTTGCAGACCTGCGTTTACTTGCAGTGCTCCAGTAGTTAAAACCAGAAAAAAGCGAAAATTCTTTCCAACCAATACCATCCTGCCAGTATCCAAACCGGTGAACCTGCCGTCTGAGAACCTGCCTTCCGTGGTTCAGCCTGATGCCTCTCTTCAGCCTGATGCCTCTACTCAGCCTGATGCCTCTACTCAGCCTGATGCCTCTACTCAGCCGGATGCCTCTACTCAGCCGGATGCCTCTACTCAGCCTGATGCCTCTACTCAGCCTGATGCCTCTACTCAGCCTGCCGGATGCCTCTACTCAGCCGGATGCTTCTACCCAGCATAATGAACTGATCCAGCCTGATGATCCTATTAGGCCAGTTGACTCGATGCCCGCTGTTGATCCAGATGATCCGGTACCTGATCCAGTGCCCGCTGTCGTGCCAATTGACTCAGAGCCCGCTGTCGTACCTGGTGACTCGGTGCCCACTGCCTTGCCAGATGACGCGGTGCCCGCTGGCGAGCCAAATGACCTGATGCCTGGTGACCTAGTGCCCGCTGTCATACCTGGTGACCCGATGCCCGCTGTTCCGCTAGTTGACTCGATGCCCGCAGTCTTGCCAGATGACTCGGTGCCCGCAGTCTTGCCAGACGACTCGGTGCCCGCAGTCATGCCAGACGACTCGGTGCCCGCAGTTCCGCCAGTTGACTCGATGCCCGCTGTTCCGCCAGTTGACTCGGTGCCCGCAGTTCCGCCAGTTGACTCGATGCCCGCTGTTCCCCAGACGACTTTGTGCCCGCAGTCTTGCCAGACGACTCGGTGCCCGCAGTCTTGCCAGACGACTCGGTGCCCGCAGTTTTGCCAGACGACTCGGTGCCCGCAGTCTTGCCAGACGACTCGGTGCCCGCAGTTCCGCCAGTTGACTCGATGCCCGCTGTTCCGCCAGTTGACTCGGTGCCCGCAGTCTTGCCAGACGACTCAGTGCCCGCAGTCTTGCCAGACGACTCGGTGCCCGCAGTCTTGCCAGACGACTCGGTGCCCGCAGTTCCGCCAGTTGACTCCTTAGCCCGCTGTTCCGCGGGTTGACTCGGTGCCCGCAGTCTTGCCAGACGACTCGGTGCCCACAGTCTTGCCAGAGGACTGTGGTGCCCGCCTGTTAACGCCAGTTGAGTTTCGATGAAGTCAGTACGCTGTTCCGCCAAGAAACCATGGGACATATAGTTCGGTGAAAACCGCTGAGAAGTCTTGCCAGACGACTCGGTGTGAAAAGAGTCTGGTGCCAGCACAACTCGGTGCCCGGAATTAAGTCTTGCCAGACGACTCGGTAGCCTGATCATTGCCAGACGACTCGGTGCCAGCTGTTCGCCAGTTGACTCGATGCCCGCTGTTCCGCAGACGACTCGTAAACAATGGACTAAGACAACCAATGCCCGCAGCCTCTTGCCAGACGACTCACTTTTGCCCGCAGGTTTCTCCTGAAGCCAGACGACTCGGTGCCCAGGAGTCTGTGATGCCAGACGACTCGGTGCCCGCTGGTCTTGCCATTGACGACCGGTGCCCGCAGTTCCGCCAGTTGACTCCATGCGTTTCCGGTGAGTGCGCATTTCCGCCACTTGACAAAGTCGGTGCCCGCGGGAGTCGTATCTCTACAGTTCACCATTGTGATACCGGTGCCCGCAGTCTTGCCAGACGACTCGGTGCCCACTTGTCGTGCCTGGTGACTCGGTGCCCGCGCCGCTCCGCCTGGGCCCGCAGTCTTGCCGAGACCTGTCGCTCCAGTCCTGGGGGTCCGGTGCCCGCCGCTTTCCGACCTGGTGGGCCTCTGAGACCTGTCGCTGTTCCGCCTGGGAGCCGATGCCCGACCTGTCGCTCCGCCTGGGGGTGCCCGCGCCGCCGCTCCGCCTGGGGTGCCCGAGACCTTCGCTCCGCCGGTGGGGTCCGGCAGTTGACCGATGCGCGCGCTCCGCCTGGGGGCCGGCGCCCACCGCTTCCGCCTGGGGGCCCGATGCCTGTCGCCCCGACTCGGGGCCCCGATGCCTGGTGTCGGTGCCCGCCGCTCCGCCTGGGGGCCCGATGCCTGTCGCCCCTCCTGGGGGCCCGGTGCCCGCCGCTCCGCCCTTGGGGGCCCGATGCCTGTCGCCCCGCCGGGGGCCTGAGACCGATGCCTGTCGCCCGCCTGGGGGGCGCCCGATGCCTGCCCCGCCTGGGGGCCCGATGCCTGTCGCCCACCTGGGGATGATGCCTGCCGCCCACCTGGGGGCCCGATGCCTGTCGCCCCTCCTGGGGGTCCGGCGCCCGCCGCTCCGCTGGGGGCCCGGCGCCCACCGCTCCGCCTGGGGGCCCAATGCCTGTGGCCCCGCCTGGGGGCCGGTGCCTGCTGCTTCCCTGGTAATCTTCCGATGTGCCAGTCTGCCCCTCCTGGAGTCCAGCCCGATGTGCCCTGCCCGGAATCCAGCCCGATGTGCCTCTGCCCCCGGGAGTCCAGCCCGATGTGCCTCTGCCCGGAGTCCAGCCCGATGTGCCTCTGCTGGGGGTGTGCCGCTGCCCGGAGTGCCTCTGCCTGTCGTCCACCTGGGGGCCCGATGCCTGTGCCTCTGCCCGGAGTCCAGCCCGATGTGCCTCTGCCCGGAGTCCAGCCCGATGTGCCTCTGCCGGTGTGCCTCTGCCCGGTGTGCCTCTGCCTGTGTGCCCCTGTCCCGATGTGCCGCTGCCCGGAGTCCTGCCCGATGTGCCAGTCTTTGATATCCGCCAGTTACCAGCCCGGGCGGTGGAATTTTTACGGAGTCCAGCTAGGACTGTTTGGAGCGTGCCCTGAGGCCCGCTCCTTGGGGGATGGCCTCTGGGGTATTCCAGCCCGATGTGCCTGGCCCAGCAATAGTGGGACTCACCTGCCTTGCCGGTGTGCCTCTGCAGTGCCCCTGTCCGGCTGGCCCAGCGGGTGCTCCCGGTGCAATCAGAGACTCAACCTTGCAGCCAGTTCAAACACCCTGGAACTAATTATACTGGTGTATTTAAGCGACATTCAGACCTGCAGACTGCCTTGGTGTTGGGTGTTTTCCTGGGGCCCTGTATCTGCCTTTCCTGCATCCTGCTCCTGCTCCTGCTCCTGTTCCTGTCAACCTTTGCTGTCAAACACCTGGCTTGATTCTGACCTCTGGGACTTCAGACCTGCAGTTCTGATCCCTGGCTTGTGACCCCGACCTTGTTCTGCCTGACCCCTGTACCTACCTGTTCCTGTCTTGTTTAGACCCGGCTGTACCCTGCTCGTGATCCCCTGACTATTCTACCGCTTGCTACCCCTGTGACCTGACTGCTACCTGCCCGATTGATATTGACCCGGCCTGCCTGACGACGCTTGCACTGTATGTACTGTTATCTGTGGGTGGTTTGGTTTGGTTCGTTTGCACTGTGTTATGTTTTAGTATTGCACTGCGTTTATGTTTGTATTGTTAGCGTTAATAAATTGTTTATAACTTATCTTAAGTCTGCATTTCCCTGCGTCAGTCACACACCTCTGGTCATACCCGGGAGCCCTGACAACCCCATAGAGAATCTATGGGGCATTGCCAAGAGAAAGATGAGAGACATGAGACCGAACAATGCAGAAGAGCTGAAGGCCGCTATTGAAGCATCCTGGTCTTCCATAATACCTCAGCAGTGCCACAGGCTTATAGCCTCCATGCCATGCCGCCTTGAGGCAGTAATTGCTTCAAAAGGGGGACAAACCAACTACTGAGTGCATATGCATGTTTATACTTTTCAGAGGTGCGATATTGTTCTATGTACAATCCTTGTTTTATTGATTGCATGTAATATTCTAATTTTCTGAGATTGTGGATTTGGGGTCTTCATGAGCTGTAAGCCATAATCATCACAATTGTGATAAATCACGGCTTGAACTATCTTGCTTTGCATGTAATGAGTCTATCTCATATGTTAGTTTCACCTTTTAAGTTGCATTACTGAAATAAATGAACTTTTGAACGATATTCTAATTTTTCGAGTTTCACCTGTATAGTCCACAATATCCCAGTGGGTTAGGTGCATGGAAGATCACAAGGATCCTTAGAATCTGATAATATATTCAAAGGTGATGGTGTGTCCAAACTGGTAAAAGACTGCGCACTCACCAGATGCGCAATCAATATGTGCATTTAGGAGATAACACTCTCAATGTTAGCTGGAATTCCCTCTGGAATATGGTCAAGTCTGCTGCTGCTCCCTGCTCACTCAGCTGTCAGCCATGGCTCTAACCTTGTTTCACGTGGCTCTGTGGGTAGTGGGAAGCTCACACAGAACCCCAGAAAGAGGAGGCCAAATAGCGTGATATTGTTTCCAATGTGTTAGGTTTATTTCATCCAGCAAGCAGGTAAAAGCATAAAGAAAACAATTACTGACCAGATAACATGGATCCAAAATGGCTATCAAGTGTCCCAGTAGACTCCGGGGAGTGGGAGGGGAGGACAGCTTCCTTTTCCAATTGCCTAGGTGATCGCAGCGAAAGTGGGAGCAGGTACCTTTCAAATTCGGGCAGGGTTCCCCCCTGCTCCCCAAAGGTGCCAATCTTTAACAGGGAGAGGGGGACAAAGCCTTAAAACGGAACTTCTCCTTTTGGATGGAGCTCCACTTTAATATCATTGAGATCTCAAACGTGCAGTTAATGCAAGACAACCAAAGACTTTCCATGAGCTTGAGGCATTTTGCCAAGACGAATGGGCAGCTATACCACCTGCAAGAATTCAGGGCCTCATAGACAACTATTACAAATAACTGCACACCGTCATTGATGCTAAAGGGGGCAATACACAGTGTTAACAACTAAGGGTATGCAGACTTTTGAACAGGGGGCATTTCATTTGTTTATTCATTGTATGTTTTGTTTTATGATTGTGCCAATCTGTTATGTCCTACAGTTGAATGTGAATCCCATAAGAAATAAAAGAAATGTGTTTTGCCTGCTCACTCATGTTTTCTTTGAAAATGGTACATACTGTATATTACCAATACTCCAAGGGCAGGAAGACTTTTGAGCAAAACTGTATACATCTTTTTAATCTCAAACTCATTTTTATTCTTTCACTTATCTTTTCATGCCATTACATTTTCATAGGGGCTAATATATACTTATAGTGAGCCTTTTACAGTTTTACATGATATTTTAGGGTTTTCGCTGCAGTGCTTGATATGGAATCTACACATATTTATTAAGGTTTTTCTATAGTTTTATTTACACCTCACCTAGTATATGGATACAGCCATATTTTAAAATAATTAGAATTAAAATTATCTTTATTGGATAAGTATGTACAGGCATACAAGGAATTTCTCTTCGACTTAAAGTTCAAAATGGCACTCAGTGTGCTTGCACATAAGCAGTTATACGTATGTGTGTCCCCCCCCCCCCCCCCCCACACACACACTTATATATACACATTGAAACAACAAATCAATATGAAAGTCTTAGTTACACACATAGTTACACTTGTAGAGCTACCCCTGGAGGAGCCATTTGATTTGATGATTTGATGGGACCTCTGTTATGCCATGACTCCTTAACCACTTCCAGTCCGGACACTTTTACCCCCTTCCTGACCAGGGCAATTTTCAGCTTTCAGCGCTATCACACTTTGAATGACAATTGCGCGGTCATGCAACACTGTACCCAAATGAATTTTTTACCATTTTTTTGAGACAGATAAAGCTTTATTTTGGTGGTATTTATT